CAGGGAGGGACACAGAGCGAGGACACAGCTGAGCATGGTAGAGTGTGCTTGTAATCTGAGCTGCTCAGGAGGCTGAGGAGCGAGGACTGTTTGAGTTCAAGGGCTTGATGTCAGAGTGGGCAACACACTGGTGATGCTGGCTTTGAAGGCGGGGGGCGGGGAGTAGAGGAGGGTGGTAGGTGGTAGTTCAGGCAGTATAGACTTGTCACACCTGCATGAGGATCTGAATTTGACTCTAGAACCCACATCAAAAGCCTAAATGCAATGATGCATGCCTGTAATCCAGGTGCTGGGAAAGCAGAGACAGGCAGATCCCAGGGCTCACAGGCCAGTCAGCCTTGCCTAAGCAGTGAACACCAGGTTCAAGGACAGATCCTGAGTCAGAAAACAAACAACACCCCAAGTGGACCTCTAGCCTCTACTGCCTGGGCACATACACAGGCACCCACACTCCAACACATACATGTGTGCATGTAAGCCCCCCCCCCACCATGCACATACATGGAAAACAAGATCGGAAAGCAAGAATGGTACTTGGGGAACTCAATGACACTGTCCCACATATCAAAGCCAAACAGCAGAGACAGATGCGAGGGCCATGACAATGCAGTGGCCAGAAAGGCATCTGGAGGAAGCTGGAGAAGGTTGAAACTGTACCATGCACAGCAGGAGACTGCTTTCAATGACCATGGGGGGAGGGATCCAAAAGTAACACAGAACAGCCAAGTGTCCTGAGGGTTGGTTACATGGAAGGCACTCTCTCCACTGGAATGGTGGGTCAGAGGTCACTTTCCAGGATGAGGAAGTGGCAATGGTGGTTAGGGAAGGAAACAGAGACACTCTAGACAGTGAGTATTGTGGGATTGAGAGAGCTTTTATTTTGTTTCAGAAAGCAGGGAAGGTCAGCACCATTGTGATGGGAAACTTATTCTACAGTGACTAGGGCGAAGGAGTAAATAGATGGCAGTACTTGGGCCAAAGTACCACGGTGTGGGCATGTGCATCCCATTATGGGTCCACCGGGCATAAGGGCTCTGGGACACCTTGAGGTGGTGCCCTGGGAGCTGGGTATTGGGGTGACTACTGAGAAGGATGTGCCTGGGAAAGGACAAGGTGCATCCCAAAGGCAGCTTTATAAAGCAGGACGTGTGTGGGAAGACAGGGAAGAGAGGGGCTGGAGGGCTGAGTGGAGCCAGATTGGCAGGGGCTGAGTGGACTTCTTTGAAGTTACTAGAGGACTTATTTATTTATTTATTTTAAAGTGGGAGATGGAACATCTTGACTTTTGCCTTACAAGGGATTTTCTGCTATGGAGAAGAGAATATCCCATGAGCCCAAGGTTCTGAACCAGGAGAGTGAGGGAAACAGGAAGGGGGCGGGGGATATAACTCAGGAGTCATTGCGTGGCATCAACAGAACAAAATCATGGTGAGACACAGAGGGCAGGGGAGAACTGAGCCCTCCATGGGAACTTACAGGCATCTGTTACATGTTACATGCAACTGTTAGCTGAATGACAGAGGAAAGCCAGCAAGGAGATGGGGGTAGTGTTCAATTTTAGAAGATAGTCCAGTCCATGTTCTAAATTTAAAGAAGTGAAACCATACAAAGTATGTTTTCCAAATCTAGGCAAATTAAATACAAATAGCAAAAAGATATCTAGGAAACCCCAAGTATTTAGAAATTAAACATTTCATTTCTAAGTACCTACGAGATATTATATTAGAAAAGATATTTTGAAATATCTTTTGATGAGTGAAATATTTAATGTGGTAACATGGTAAAATTCGTAGGTGCTATGATGGCTAATTTTTGCTGTCAGCTTGACAGCATCTGGAATCAACTAAACCCAAGCTGCTGGGGACTCTGTGAGAGATTTTCTTAATCGGATGAATCCAAGCAGGAAGACCACACCCTCTGTTGTCAGCCCCCAAAAGGGACCTGGAAAAAGGAAGTTTCTTTTCGTCTGATTGCCTTCCTTCTTGCTGGCAAGTCCATCTGTCAGATTGCCACATGTGCTGGGCAGTCAATACCACACAAGCAAGAGCTGTTTGGGAAGAGAAAACTTCAATTGAGAAAATGCTCTCACCTGATTGACCTGTGGGCAGGCCTGTGTTGTATTTTCTTGATTGATGATTGATGTATGTGGGGGGGAGGTGGGCTTGCTCATTCAGAGTGGAACCACCCCTGGGCTGGCCTAGTTGGCTTTTAGTCACTGTGTTTTGTTTTTGTTTGTTTTTTCAAGACAGGGTTACTCTGTAACTTTGGAGCCTGTCCTGGAACTAGCTCTTGTAGACCACGCTGGCCTCAAACTCACAGGGATCCACCTACTTCTGCCTTCCTAGTACAGGGATTAAAGGTGTGAGCCACCACTGCCTGGCTTTGGTCATGGTATTTTATCACCACAACTGGAACCCTAACTAAGACACTGCAGCATTCCTTCACCAATATTCAAACCACCCTCTTCAGGATTCCAATGTGGACAGAAGACCAGCAGCTATCTGAGAATCCTCCAGGCCTTCAGAATGGGACTGCTAAGGCATCCAGCCTTGCTGACGGAGGCATGCCTGGATTCTCAGCTGCTCCAGTGTGAGACAGCCCTGGTTGGGGTGCCCAGACTGCATCCTGTAAATCAATCTAATAAATCATATATATGTCTGCTCTAGATCTAATAACCCATATATATAGCATTAAATGATATATTAAAAAATTAACATCTCAAATCAATAACCAAGATTTTAACTTTGAGATTAGAGGGCATAAAACAAATCAGAATCCAAAGGAAGCAGAAGGAAACAAAAACAATGGAAGACAAAAAACAAAACTGATGTGTGTGGGATGTCCTTTTGTATATATGTTGCTTTTATTGGTTAAATAAAGCTGCTTTGGCCTATGGTAGAGCAGAATATAACCAGGCTGGAAGGGATATAGAGAGAAAGAAGGAGGAGTAAGAGAGATGCTACGTCACTGCAGATGTTCAGAACTTTTACCAGTAAACCATAGCTTCCTGACAATGCACAGATTAATAGAAGTAGGTTCATTCGAGATGTAAGAGCTAGCTAGAAATATGCCTGAGTCATTGGCCAAGCAGTGTTGTAATTAATATAGTTTCTGTGTGATTATTCGGGTCTGGGCAGCTGGGGAATGAAAAAGCAGTCTCCAGCTACACAAAACCAAGTTGGTACTGGAAGCTGCTTCTTTGAAAAGTGAATGGCCAGGAAAAGAGGAGATGACACTGGTGACCAATGTGTGTGGGGCAGGTATTTCTACAGACCTTACAAACGCAGCACGTAATCCAAATATCTAGAGAGTAGTGAGTGAGTTCTGCTGACAAAAGTATGTACTATCTTTGACAATATTATACCTGCCACAGTGAGGACCGTTCAGTAGAGAGCAGCAGAAGGACCCCAAGTCACTGAAGGTGCAAGAACATGGGTGCCTATTTTAATAAAGTTGTGGGGCCAGATACAGCATGGGGAGGAGTATTTTGGAGGAGGAATCATGTTTACCTGTTGAGGCAGAGAGGAAGGACCAAGCAAGGGAAGTCAAGGATTTGGAAGAAGTGGAGGCATCTGGGGCCGGCAGCAGCAGGAGCTCATGGATGGCAACAGTGGAACAGCCTACTCTGGACAAGGCAGACTCTGAGGCAGGCGGGAGGATGGTGAGGACGGGTGGAGGTCAGATGAGGATGGGTTTCTCAGTCATCTGTCTTTAAGAGTTTCAGATTGTTTTAGAAATGGGAAGATGGTAGCGAACTAAGATTCCAGAACTGGATGTAGCCTCTGAGGAGCTTACAAGGTGAATGGCGGGACGCCTGGAAGGGCCATAGCATGTGCAGGGCTCTGCCAACGTCTGTCAGGGCAAGAAAGGAAAGATTTCAGGCTCTGAAGGCCAACAGACCCAGCCAAAGATGTACTATAGACACAGCTGTGGAGAGAAAATGCTGGACCCAGTGGGAATAAACTGCTTCTGTTAGGTCATCTACGGCTTAGTAAAGAGACAAAAAGCTTCCAGTGAGAAAGGGAGGGTTGTGATGGGCCAGGGTGGAAGGTAGGAGTGGTGGGAAATCCAAGCAGCTTCTCTTTTGCCCCAGTGACGGCCCCAAGCCCTGTGGTATCTCTCTTTCCTTCTGAGAGCGTGGTCTTCCCAATTCAGGAAGCTTGCTAGAGACTAAACAATGCCAGGGTTGGGTGTCTAAAAATTGCAATCAACACTTCCCTCTGCTCTGGCTATTGGAACAGTCAAGGCAGCAGTACTGGGAGAAGAAAAACAAGGGAGAGTTAAGTTAGGATGTAGATGTAGTTTGGCCTCTAGCTCATGAACTAACTTTTCATTGGTGCCTCAGCTTTACAAACACAAGTAGCAGGCTAGCATCGAGCCACAGGCTCAGGGTCACCGGTGCCACTCTTGTGCCCCGAAAAGCATCGAGGAGAAGCTTAAATGAGACTTTAGCCAAGAAAACTGCACAGATTATTGTAACCAAAACATAGGTTAAATTTTCAGCCCAGTGCTTCCTCTAAGACTCATTACATTCATGCATTCACTCATTCACGACTTTCATTTTGAGACAAGGCAACGCTACACTGCCCATGCTTGCTTCGAACTCAGAATTCCCCAGCCCTAACCTCCCAAGCGGCTGAGATTTCAGACACGCATCACTGCAACTGGCTTTCACATTACTTTAAATGAGGTTCCGATTAACACTTCGAGCGCCTCCTCCTTCCTCCAGGCTCACTACCCGTGGTAGTGAACGTAAACACCGCTCTCCCAGAGCTGTGGCCTGAGTCATCCAAGTTTCGCTTCTGGAAATAGAACACTCCCCATCTCTAGGTTGGTTAAATTATATGACTTTCCTGAAAGAGCATTCTTCTTTTGCCCTTAGAGCTGAGAATCGCAAGTGGGTGAGCGGCTTGTCACTCAATACATATCAAAACAAAAGATAGGGGTGGGGGGAGCAAGGAGGATTCGTCAGGACACCGCCGATGACTGGCAGAACTTACCCTGGTAAATCCTGCAATCTTCTTCAGTGACGTAGGCGTTCGCTCCCCAGATCACCATCTTGCGGATGTAAGATGGGTTCTTAGCAGCAGCAATGAGTGCAGTTATGCCCCCGTCACTCCAGCCCAGGAGGGAGACCTGCTTGAACTGCAGCACCTGTGGGCAACACAGCGGAAGGCATGGCCTAGCTGCTGTTGACCTGTGACCAGCACAGCAGGACACCGGGCCCAGTGACCACTCCACTCTCTTTAAAGAACCTGGGTGGTGGCCATCAGAGTTCTACAAGTCTGCCACTTAGAGACCCTTGTCAATTGGCTTTGCTACAATGTAACTGTCATAAAAAGTTGAGTATACACCATTATTTTGACCTATGCAGGAAGCCTATCTTCTGGCTGGATAAAATGTCAAAGGAGAGAATCAGCAGAATCAGCAGAAATCCGCTGTATTTGGGTAGGACAAGCACCGGGTGTGCATACACCCAAGAAGGCAGGCAATCCTGTAGATTGGAGAGGGGCATAAAATAAAAGGCAGCAGGGTATCTGGTGAAGCCACAGCTGCCACTGAGGGAAGAGCTGCCTAGAGACAAGAGGCAGCATGGTGTCGCGGTAAAGCTGCATCCATCCTTGGGTGAGCCAACCAAGACCCTGAAAATGGACTCGGTAGAGAAAGCTGACAAACATATGGAAGAGGCTTCTAGAAGTAAAATGGAGCGTCTGAAAAGATTAAAAATAAGGAACCGACAAATGCTGATAATTGCTGGTGGATCACACATGTGTGTGCATACTCTGGATAACCATCTGAATGCGGATACATTCTCTACAGCCTAGCACACTACCTCCTGGATTCACTCACCAGGAGACAGACCCAGGATATAATACACACGGCACTGCTCATAATCACAACAGCGACAAATGTCCCTGAGCACCTTTATAGCAAAAAAGTAGCTTAAAGTTAATTCTTTACCACTAGATGATACATAGAATAAGACAGTGCATACATCCAGTGAATTACAGCAGCTCGCTCTCTCTCTCTCTCTCTCTCTCTCTCTCTCTCTCCAGGGTTTCTCTGTGTAGCTCTGGTTGTCCTGAAACTCACTCTGTAGACCAGGCTGTACTCGAACTCACAGAAATCTGCCTGCCTCTGCGTCCCTGAGTGCTGAGATTAAAGGCGTGCGCCACCACCGCCCTGTTTCAGCAGCTCTCTTGTACCTCCTGGGGTTACATTCCAAGATGCTGCCCCACCACAGATGATTTGAAACATAGATGGAACCAATCTATACACACACACACACAAAGGCACACGCACGCACACACACGCAGTCTAGAGTGGATATTCTGGACAGGCAATGTCTTACAGTTTGGGTAGGATGGATGGGCAGCACACTTCACTGTACCACTTAGAATCGCAGGGAATTTAAAACTGATGACGGAATGCTATAGATAATATTAACGAACTTATATTTCAGAAAAACAGAAGGAAATATTTTGGAAGTGTTCCTCATGAGGAAATGATACATGCTGGAGACTGGGAGAGATAGTTCTATTGGCAAAGTGTTTGCAGTACAAACACGAGGATCCGAGTTCTTTCCCAGGACCCAAGAAAGCCAGCCATTGTGGCACATCCCAGCTCTGAGTTGGAGACAGGAGGATCCCTGAAGCTTATTGGTCATCCAATCTAACCTACTTGGTGACCTTCAGGCCAACGAGTGACCTTGTTTCAGAAAACAAGGTGGAAAGCAACTGAGCAACAATAGTTGTTGTGGCTGACATGTTTAACCTGGTTTGAACATGCAGAATAGACACGTACTGGAACCTTACTTAACCCCCTTGGAATGTACAGCTTTTATGTTTTAATAGATAAGCTAAAAGTAAACTTAAGTTATCAGGCATTATAGATTATGAATTAATTATTTCTGCAATTTTTCACTTAATATTTCCACAGTTGAAACCACAGAGAGTGAGCTCATGGAGAAGGGCAGTAAGTGTATGTTCGTCGGGAAGGAAGCAGCATCTCCTTGACACATTTTCAAAACAGCAAACTTGGAGGATGCAAGGTGAAGTCTGATGCCGTTGGTATCACACCTCTGATCCCAGCACTCAGGTAGAGGTTACCCTGCTGCTAGTGCGGCTAGCCAGGGTTACACAGCAAGACCCTGCCTCAAAAAATCAAAATAACTATGGAGGACCAAAACTGTGGGCCTATTTCCACCTTGTCTGAAGGTCAGAGAGTTTTAGCTTGTTCAGAGTTGTTGACAAGTGTGGCTACATCCTGACCTAGGGTGTGGTTGCTTGGTCTCTTTGGCATTAACATGGCCCATTCAGAGAGATTTACTCCAGCCTGACCAATGGTCAGGATATTCAGGCATACCTCTGCTCCTTGGAAATTTGGTCTAGGGTGGGTTCACTGCCTAAACAACAGAATGCCAATGATTTGATGCCTCAAAGTTGAAGCAAATAACTGTCCTAGTTGTCTGTTTGTATCCTGTTAAAGCAGTCTTTTGTCTTCCTCCCCCTTTTGCGTTTGGAAAAATAAACGCAGGTGAATTTCAGTATTCACTCTCTCCCGATACTACCCTATGTTTCTGTTTTATTATTTTTAGTTGTGTCTTTGTGCTCTTTGCTTGTTTTTCTAATCCTCACGCCCCTGCTCTGGTAAGTGGTATTTGTCCCCGACAAACACCCAAATGTTTGCTTAAAGGCATTGATTCCTCACCTGGGCCTACAAGGTAATTAATTAAAAGCAGGGTAAAAGCTGGACTTTTCCATCTTCATTTTGTATCATCTTTACTTTGGGTTGGATTCCTGTTCAACTCTGGTTGTAGACATGTTAAACATTCAAGGAGTGTCTGTATGTGACATAACCAACAAAACCAGTCCTAACCCCAGCACTGGTTAGTTTTATGTCAACTAGATACAAGCTAGAGTTATCAGAGAGAAGGCAGCTTCAATTAAGAGGGAAAGAGAGAGGAAGGGGGAGAAAAACAGAGAAGGGAAGAGAGAAAGGGAGACAGAGAGGAAGGGAGAGAGGAATAGAGGGAGAGGGGAGAAAGAGAATGAGAAGAAGAGAGAAAATGAGAGAAAGGGAGAAATAGAAAGAAAAAAGAGAGAAAGAGAAGTAGAGAGAGAAAAGAAAAAGAAGGAGAGAAAGAGGGAAAGAGAGAGAAAGAAAGAGAAAAAAGAAAGAGGGAGAGAGAAAGAACAAGAGAAAAAGAGAAAGAAAAAAAGAAAGGCTGAACAAGGCAGCAATCAGCACCCCTACCATGACCTCTACATCAGCTCCTGCCTCCAGGCTCCTGGCCAGTGTGAGTTCCTGTTCTGACTTCCTTTGATGAACTGTGGTATGGAAGTGTAAGCTGGAAAAACCCTTTCCTCTCCATTCTGCTTTGGTCACGGGGTTTCTCTACAGGAATGGTAACCCAAACAAGACAAGCCCCTTCAAGGCTGAAGGCTTAAACATAGGAGCAGTGGTGACATCTAACTGTTGCCTTTTACAGTGCTCTGTTCCAGACCCACATTGTCGCAAGCCTGAAGCCAGCTTGGATTCCAGGAACGGCAGAGCCTTACAGACAGATCACCCCACGAGATGATGTCCCCCTAAAAGCATGGGCCATCATGATTCTTCAGGCCACCTTACAGAACCAGAACTGAGATAACACCAGATCACACCTTAACCAAGACGATTTAGTTATGCAGACTTCTAGCCTCTTTTCCAGTTCCTGCTCTACTTAAACCTAAGGCTCATGTCAGTACCGGGAAGATGGGAGGACAGGCTTCCTTTTCACCTTCTCCAAATGACAGTTTTGTTAAAAACGCATTCCTGCCTCTTCACCACCACCTCTTTCTGCTTTCTTAGGGGTGAGTGACTACACCGGGCACATTGGAAGCCATGGAGTTGAGCCTCTGGCTTAGGACTCCAGTGACATCAATATAAAGCTGTCTATTCTGCTGTGTGTAAGTGTGGTAGGCCTGCAGTCCTGGCATGCTTAGACTACACAGTGAAAACCTGTCTCAAAGCAAAGCAACACAAAGCAAAAATTAAAACTGTGCACTGACGTATGCCATGAAACTGGCTGTAAAGACACAGCGTCTTGGTAGTAGCCTCGTTATATGGCTGGCTCTGTTTCCACTCAGTCCTTTAGGCCTTCCTTATGTAAGACTCGCATTAGGTATTGAAAGAAAGAACGCCAGGCATTAGAACACATGAAGATTGGTCCAGTCATTTTCCCCCACTCCAGCACTTCTCTGCATCTCACCTTCATCAAGTCAACAGCATCCTTTGCATCCCTTTCAAAAAAGTCCAGTGGGAAGTCTCGATCTGGGGGTCTGGACTGTCCGTATCCTCGAGGGTCCCAGGCCACCACTGTGAAGCGCTTCTTGTTTAGGTTCTGAAGTTGTGGTGCAAAATCGGTGCTTCCACTTCCTGAAAACAGCCACCGGGTTACATTCTGAATGTTCTCAGTGTCGCCAACACACCAGGGCGAAATGGAAACGGTACCAAAACACAGTTCTTGGTTCTTTATCTTCAAAGTTAGCCAGGGAAAGCTGCCCTGCAAGGGCCGACTCCACCCAGAGGCGGATTTCCACGCCTCGTGGAGTTAGGACCGGCCTCTGAGCTCCCTCTAGTGGTGGTTTTGAGGAAGCGAGGCTCAGGACCCGTATTTTTGTGGCTCGTTTGACAGCCTTTCAGTGTAGTTCTCTCCTACCGATCCATTGAAGAAATTAACTAAACTGTATTGAAATAAACTTTCATATTTGATAGTTTCTGGATCCCCTTTTTCTCTCTTTTCTCTAAAGAAAAATGACTAAGAAATGATGGAGCCCCAGTGGCATCCAGGTAGAAGTCCAGATGTTTTCATTTTCATTAAGCTAATTATAAATGACTCTAGAGTTTATTTTATTTTATTTTTTTTTAGCTACAACCAAAATAGAGGAAAACAAATTAAAGCACTGAAACATGCATGCTTAGGAAAGCAAATCATAGTTTATAAAACAAATGAGCCTATGCCAAGAGCCTGTGGCAGCCCTGTCTGGCAAGCCCCCTGCTCACCAACTAAGGTGTGGTGTGCTCACATCCACTATGTTTGTGGAAGGTCACTTAGTAAGAGCTCCAGCAGCAGGTGTATTTACTGTGCAGGGTTTTTGTTTTATTTCTAAGCACCCACTATCCAGGTCACAGAATAGACGGGAAACACACCCAGTCGAGCTCTGAAGCAGACCAGCGGATTTCCAGCCCTTGTCTACTGGTCTCTCATGGGAGCTTCTTGTCTCTCCCTGATCTAGAAGGAACTATCCTGGAGGAGGGGCAGGAATTAGGGCAGGATTAGAGGGAGGTAGACTAAAACGATAGTTTCCCAGACAGGAAAGTAATTGTGTTTGAAGACCAAGATTGCTAAAACCTTCCACAAACGTTTTGAGAATATGCATACTTATCAGTGTATGATGTCAGAGTGACCCATGGGCACTGGGGGACAAGGCAGGAGAGAGACTCCCACTGTTCCGTTTTAAAGCTTTAGAATCATGCTAATATTTTACAGAAATGAAAATTTATAGTGGGGGTGGGTGCTTTGTGTAGTTAATGGCTGCAATGTTAAAATAATAATAATAATAATGTGGCAAATTATTTTTACTGATGATTTAACTGTACATCAGCTATTGGAGTAAATATCTCCTTGATTACAGAAGCTTAAGAAAAAGGCACCAAATGTCCCAAGGCTACAGTGGGACTCCATCAGTGAAGGCCTAGCAAGGAGGACCGAAAGTAGCTGAAAATTTTAGCTTACTACCTTTGGTAGGAAGAGGCAAGTCACAGTAAGTATATACTGGGATTACATAAATACCTAAGAAATAGAGCAGCAACCCTAAATGCCTTAGAAGTAGTTTCAGGATGTCTTGGGAGATCACTGCAAACTCCCTCTATAAGTTTAAGAACTTTCTATACCTGGACTGTTGTTCTATGAAGTTAGACTAAGATTCAGTAGTTTCCAAAATGCTCCGTACGCTGCAGAAGGTGATTTATTAATCCGATTTTGATTTTGAAAAGGACTCTAAGCTAGTTGGGGATAGTGGCACAAACCTGTCCTCTCAGTATGTATGAAGCTAAGGCAAGTTTGAGCTATAAAGTGAGACCCTGCTAAGAAGCAAGAAGAAAGAAAAGTCTTTTAACAACCCCTTTACTTTTATTAAACAAGACAAACACACTGATTCCCCTGCCCCCTGTCCTGGGCTTAGCACTTCAAGTCTCACATTCCAGAAAACCTTTGGATATGAGGCAAACAAACAGGTATGGCTGGTTACCAGCTCACTATCTTCATCGTTGGATCCCTCTTTCTTTGGACCCTCTGTCTCCTTGACCCCTGCAGTCCTGCCCAATAGTAGGAAACCATTTTTACAGTGTGTTTAAATGTGAGAAGAATGGGTAAAAGAATAAAACATTAATACAGTAGAAAGTTATTTACTTTTCCAAACCACTCAACTCTGAGTGAGGCAAGTATTCATTAAAAGCCTTCAGCGAGCACTAACATAGGTAATCGATGCTTGGCATCTACCGTCATGATGCATCATGGGGGATCCACAGCCTGCAGAAACAGCCTATTCAAATCCACACATACCCAGCATCCCAGGGAGCAGGAGGACTGCATGCTCCCCTTCTCCCGTTCTCTGGTAATGCAGGTGAGCGCCATTAACAGCCACCTTGGCCGAAGTCACTGCAGTGCTGGAAGAGAAAGAAGTCCCCGAAGAAAAGACTTACTGGTTGTGTCAAACTGGCATATTTCACACGACAAAGCACCAGTTCTCGTGCTCGAGTGAGCACTGGTACCCCGCTCAGGCATGCTGCACTGCTTTGATCTGTGCCTTAGCTTTCAATCACGGTTGTGTTCCCATTACAAACTGCAAATCTGAACAGCGTCTTCCTGTTTCGACCCACTTCAGCACCCAGGGGCTTGCCTGCTGCCCTGGTTAGATTTTTTTTTGTATGTGTGTATGTATGTATGCTCGCATGTATGTATTTATTCATATATTTATTTGCCAACTTGACACACAAGCCACCATCATCTTAGGAACTTCAGTTGAGAAAGTGCCGCCATTAGATTGGTCCAGAGGCAACTCTACGGGGCATTTTTAAAGATTCACGACTGATGTGGGAGGGCCCACTGTGGGTAGCGCCACTCTTGGACAGGTGGTCCTGTGTTGTCTGTACTAGGAAGCAGGCTGAGAAACCAGTAAGCAGCATTCATCCATGGCCTCTGCTTCGGTTCTTGGCCTTATGGTCTTCTTGCCCATTTCCTTGATAGAGGGCAGTGACAGGCAGGATGTGGAGGGCGTGCCAGTACAGTTGCCAAGAAGAATGGCTCTTCTTCTTGTGGATTGGCAGTAAATTTAAGTCAACTACTGACTTCCCTTTTCTTCTACGTTCTACATCCCGTCTCTGTCCTTGGTCAAAATGTTTACCATAATGTGGCACTGTTGGAAAAAACAAGTTTTTTTTTTTTTGTCTGATTTGCTAAGTTCAAGTAATAAAGAGTATAAGCTAGACATGGTGGCACACATGGAATCCCAGCACTTGGGAGGTAGATGGACAGGGATTGCCACAAGTTCAAAGTCAGCCTGGCATGTATAGAAAAACCCTCTCGTAAACAATAGCAACAAAATTAACAAAGAACGTGGGTGTGTGTTGAATATTGGTACATCTAATATTAGCATAGAATTTCTGAAAATCACATGACAAAATTGGGATATGAGAAAGCCTAAAATAAACGCATCTACACAAACATTAGAGGAGCAATAATAAAGCCATTAAGTAGCAGCAAGTGACATCAATTTGTTTTTGTTAGCATTCTATTCCTTCAAAGAGCTGAGTTTTACTCTTAGGACGGCTTTAATCAGCTCAGAATCAAGACAGATGCAAATCAACACATTCTGCTAACAAAGGCTCACTTGAACACGTCAGCACTTCACACACTCCCAGCCCAGAACGTGCGCCCTAACAAAGACTGGTTTCATTCTGCAGGTGTACATGTGCTCCCAGCTCAGCAGGAGAGAAAACAAAGACACAGAGGATTTGCTCAGGGAGGGCAGGGCTATGCTGGAGGCTCCTGAGCTAGATAAAATTTCCTTCCCGTGTTTCTTGTTTTATTAAATGAAGCCACCCCCCTGAGCAGCTGACTAGTGTTTACCGGGAACACACACAAAGTGCCAGCCGTCTCCTCCCTTTTCCCGCTCTCTCTGCACTAGAGCTCTTGGGGCAGGGGGTGGGAGGCTCCCTTCCCTGCAGTACCAAGAACACGCTCGTCAAAGCCATTTTGCACTATGCAGGTATTTTGAACAATGTTTCCATTTTCCTCAACGCACAGAGCCAGTGGCTTTCGGGAATGGTGCTGCTGCCACAGCCCTGGGCATCAATCAGTCTCTCCCTGGAGCACTGGTTCACAAAAACCTCTTTCCTTCAGTCTCTTCAACAACAACAACAACAACAACAAACCTAACTTCTTCCTGCATTGGCTGGATCTAAGTTTTGGGTTCCCAGTCCAGATGTCTTTCTGAATTCTCACCGCCTAACAAGAGTATAGAGACGCCAGGCGGCTAGAGGGCCTCTCACTAGAAACTGCGGCAGGGAAGGATCTGCAAAGGTTTGGAAGTGACTTTGGTGGGGAGAACAAGAAATGTCATGTCAGGTTGGGCAGAGGTATCTGAGAGGAGAGAGAGGGGTCTTTTGTGAGGAAATGCCAAAGAAGGCATTTCACAAAATGCAGATAAGAACACTGCAGAGCAGCATTGTGGGGAGACCATGTGGCATGCTCATAGCCTGTGTCCAGCCAGGCAGAGTGAGAGGGCAGAGGGACTGGATGGTATGGGGATCTTCAGTAAGCGGAAATGGTCCCTGCTGCGTCAACACAGGCACCCAGTGTGCCATGACACCAGCGGTATTATAGGCATCACACCGGCCCATCCTGCCCAACCTGATTCCACGATCCAAGGCTGGGGAGGAGACAGAAAATTACTTACAAACAGACTTATTAATCTTAATAAATTATTCATTTCAGACATAAGGAAAGGTTTGTGTTCAATCATAGAGTGACTGAGGGTTGGCTTATTTCCACAGACATACATGATACATCAGTTGGGGTCATTTCAAGCCGAAAGCATCGGTTCCAGCTTGTCAGGAGGTCTCTATGACAGTGGTCAGGCCTTGTGCAAACAGCAAAGTCCATGTGGGGAGGACCAGGCATGCAGCCCAGGCTTTTGACAGCCCTAACACTTGTTTACTTCCAGAACTACATTCAATACTGGATTGTTCAAACTCTCAAATAGGAACAAAGACAGAAACCCTCAGAAAACTTAAAGAACAATTTACCCCCCCCCCTTTTTTTTTTTGGTCATCAGAGTTTCTTTTCCACCCTTCCCTCCAAAACCTCCAACAACCTATTTTCTAACCATGGTATCTGAAGCAGATGTGTTTATGAGATTGTGTTGAATTTTATAAACTCCCGTGACTAGTACAATCCTGAGAAGCACTCTAACTCTGGGGCACTAACTGCTTCCAAAGCCACACCTTGCAGGACACCAAAGGCATGTCTCTCTGAAGCTTAAGGCTAGCAGGAGATAGGCAGATACAGCTCAGTGCTTACTGTGCACTTGTGTGGAGCCTTTCAACTAAAGGCAGAGGTGGTGGAGTTCAGCCAGTTCAGCCTACCTGAGCTCGTTTCTCCTGTTATTTCAGCAGGGCTCAAATGCTGAATTCAAACCACTGGGCAGCCTTCCAAATCTGTGAGCCCAGGCTGCACAGCTCCACAATCTGAATGGGAAGTAGGCAACTGTACTTAGGCCAACAGGCCAGCAAGCCTGAGTCAATTGCTTAGAGAACATAAGGCTTAGGAGCCCCCAAAGTGTACCTTCCCATGTCGTGTGTCCTTAGCTCTCACCTGCGAATTTTCTATATGGTACCCAGAGCGGGGGGTCTACTCGCCTCAGACAGAGAGAGGTGGTTGTGTGGGAAGGCTGGGGAGAACAGGTAAAGCAAATCTAGTGCTTGCTGCCAGGCGCCTGCACTCTCGGGACATGTTCCCCGTCTTTCATTTCTGAGGTGCACGGTGAATTTACTCTAACGTTACCATAGAGAGGCTGAAAGTTAGTGGGAAAGCTAATTGGCTGATCACAGGATTAGCTAATCCAGCCCAAGATGAGCATCTGAGTGTGTGACCGGAATCTTGGCTTCAGCACCTTGCTTAGAGAGGAAGGTGGAGATTGCTTAATAAATAGGGGCTCACTTTGAAAGTCCTTACTGCTTATCCCCTGCTTCCTAGCAAATGACTGGGAGTCAAGCATCAGCTACTTCATTACACGAAGTTTGATGACTTCTTTTATATACAATTATTTATGTATATATATTATTTATGTGCTCACTATTTATATCATTAGTTGTACTTGCTAATTATTTATATTTATTCTGTTCCAGGCCTTTCACAGTCCTTGTTTCAAATACAAATGCTGCAAGGCCAGAAACCCAGAGAGGCTGAGTAACTTGTCTGTAGTCACGCAGACAGTAGGAGTTGATAATGCAGCTACTTAAACTATTTGAACTCATAACACCATGACCTCTTAAACCTCGGGGCAGAGCTGAATCCTCAACAGGGCAAAGTGCTGGGGTGGCATTCAGTCTGATTGCCAAGCAGGGGGTGGAGGCAGGCCTGAGAGGAAGGATTGGACCTGATTCTCTGGCAGGGCCTCCTTGGGTTAAATTCAGAAAATGTTTATTTTTCAGTCAGACTGTCTGATTCTGCAAATTATTATTGTCATAACTGGCCTTCAAACCCCACAGAGAATACTTTTTAACAATTCACAGAGTCTATGAAGTAAGAAAAGGCTCAGAGTTCCAAGCAGTGAACCGACAAGCTAATCTGCACTACACAACGCAGCTAGTTGTGGGCCGGACACTGGGTGCGAAGAGGCTTGCACAGGACTGCTTCGAGTTGTAGGCATGGGGCTGCAGCCTGGTTTCAGGATTAACCAGCAGGGCTGTTTCTCAGATTACAGGCCATACCAGTATGGAACCGTATTTCTAAAATGGCAGCACAAGACCCCGGAAAACCTTTATGGAGCTCTTTCAGGACGAGTGATCTACAGTGCAGCTAAGTGACTAGGACTCTCGACATCCATGACGTCACCAATGAGTATGACATGAACACAACCCTGGTAGCCTCATCTCAATCCCTTTCCTGCAATCAGGAAACTGGATAAAACGCCTGCTGTTCGCTGGTGATCTACACAACCACAGCCACTGACGTGTTTTTCCACCTGTATATAAAAAATGTGCTAAAGTCACATAACCCTAAAACGAGAGAAGAAACCTGAATTAAATATAAAACCGAAGAGATACACAATCATGCTAGGAATATTTTAAAAAACTGGTTCGATTTTCCCTTCTCTCTGCTTCTGGATTATGTGCTCAATCCATCCATTATGTGATCTGGGCAATGCCAGCCCCTAGCGTCAATGGCCGACTGACAGTAAACAGCACACTCACAGTGGGCATGCCTGCATGTGTACATGGTAGGATATGCTTAGACCGAGGCTGCTCTGTCCACAGTTTCTGCTCAAATTCTCTTGAGACGGAGCACCATTTTCAAGACAGCAGGTCTCCACGAATGTTGTTATTATTTTATCCAAGGGTGGGAGTGGAGTGTGGTGGGGAATGGAAAATACACACCCATATTAGAACTTCTAGCAGGGGGACCTGGGTCTTTGATTTTACACAGATTCCCAAACAGCTTCTCCAGCACACTGAAGTTCGAGATCAGCAAACAAAAGGACTCAGGAAACGTGGGCCCTGTGACTGAAGCAGGTTAGGCAAATTTCTGAGGAGACAAGGAATAGTTACTGCCCCCAGCAATTAGCTAACCGACATCAGGTTTCGGATCCATGACTACCAGCAAAAGCGCCTCCCGGTCCTTTTCATCTGCAATTAGGGGTTCTAGAACCGAACCCCTGCCACAGAAGTGCTCGCGCACTGGCTCTGCGGGATCTGGACCCGGGTCTGAGGAAGGAAGGGCCGTCAGCACCAGGCACCAGGCCCACCCCTCCAGCGGCCCAAGCGGCTAGGTGCACGTTATTACCCGAAGGTGGCTGCGGGCTCCGTTTGCGGCACGCGGGTCCTGGACTTCAAGGGCGAGAGGAGCAGCCGCAGTCGCAGAGACGCAGGGTGTACCGCTGCAGTCGCCATAGCTCCAGGTCACTCCTCCTAGCGGAACCGCGCGTGCGCCCAACTGGATGCCATCCTTCAAGTGCCAAGCCCGAAGCTACGCCTCTGGCCGGCCACACCCCTTGTTAGGCCAGCCAGAAAGGAAGCGTGTTCTCTCTTACAAACCTAGCTCTCAGTGTGCATAGTTCAGTTGGCACCACTCCTTGCTTGCAATTGCTGTGGTGTCCAAAGCTACGGGGAGGCAGGGCCACCTGCCGGACATCTCGGCAGGGAGACTATTGTTTCCTGTTTTTGTTGAGAAAAGGTCTCACGGTCTCACGTTGCTTCAGTTGGCCTAGAACTATGAGCTGATGTTGATCTTGAGCTCCGGATCCTCTGGCCTCATGCTGGGATTACTGGCCTGCATCACCAGACCTGCCGACATCCCACTTTTCACCTATCTATCCCTCTCTCTACCCTTGCTGCTAAGCAAAATGGCAGCAGGCTTTTAGGTTACCCTTGTCAGCATTTATTATGTAAGTCTTCAAGAACTCATCGTTTCTGCACTGCATTGTGTTAACTTTCTGCACCACCGTGGCACGCATTTGAGAACAATTTAAAATGAGGAAAGGTTCAGGGTTTCAGAGCTTTCATCCCAAGGTCATCTGGACCCCTTGCTTTGGGCCTGAGCGGCCCGTGATGGTAACAGAGGTACTTGGCAGAGAGGCTGGGAAAGAGAAGGTGGGGTGGGGAAGGTTGTTCAAAAGAAATCGTTCAAAGGCATGTTTCCAGTGACCTGTTTCTTATAGCCAAGTTTCACCTCTACAGTCTTCCAGTAAAGCCATCAAACTATGAACCCATCAATGAATTACTTGGTTGAATATATCAGATCCCTAATGATCCAATCACCCATCGATCGATTGTAGGTTAAGCTTTCAACATCATATGCAAACCAAAACTATCACTTTTGTGCCAGGCACCTTTAAATGCTTCACTTTATTTTTAATCTATATATAACTCTCCCTCCATTCCCACCTCTTTACTCTCAAATTATAGATAACAAGATTATGGCAAGAGAAGTTAGGAAGTCTTTCCCACATGGCTGCAGAGGGGTACTCAAGCCTGCTTCGTTTCATAATGCTCTGTTAAGACACCATACCTCTCACAGCAACAATACTTGCTCTTCATTCTTTATAGTCAGCTGCTTATAAAATGCCATGGGGCTCCCCCTTGTTTTTTTTTTTTTTTTAAATTTCCTCCCTTTTAAAGCAAGAAAAACATGAAGCCCACTTGGTTTCCTCCTCTCTTCTCCTTCCTCAACTTCCTTGACCCTAAAGCCTAGACATGAAGGAAGAAGCAATTAGTTCATTGGCTCAATTTTTGGTAATATCAGGAACTATGAAACATTATCAGACCAAGTTGCTTGATTCTAGCCACAAACTGGATGTCAACTTTTTAGATAACTTTGTAAATTGCTTACATCACAGAGAGCAGCCCAGGAGAAAGGTAGCCTTGCTTGGATGCTCAGTCCTCCTGCATCAGCATTCCAAGTGCTGGGACTACAGCAAAGAACAGCTGAGGATGTGCTAACACAGTTAAAGAAGCATCTAGATGTGTGGACAAGAGTTGCTATATTATTAAAACTTGTATTGAATATGAACACGATGCTTTGGAAAGTGTGGCTAAAAATAAGGTGGAAGATTCCTCCAAGGAACTGATGTGAAGGAATAAAAGGCAAACAACAAAGCACAACAATAAAAAACTATGTTGTTGGTTGCACTATCAAGATGCCATTTAGCCCAACTTGAATAGAGTTGACTCCCATCAGTTGGTCTCTGACCTCCATGTGAGCACTGTAGCTCATGTGCACACAAACACAAAAAAAAAAAAAACACCGAGTAGGTGGGTTACTCATTTGTGAACCTTCATTAAAGTGAAACGATCGAAAATATCTATCCTGCTAGATAGGCTACATCTTTTTGTAAACAACTCATTAAAAAGCAAAGAAAAAAATATACCAAGATAAATGTTTAAGATGTTTTTGAGGTAGAACTCCCTTTCTTATTGCTGCGTGTAACTTCACAACAGATGGAAGGCAGGATCACAACCACAGCAAGTAGAAAACCTATGCTTGGGAGTAACTGTGGAGCCTCCTCCCTCATTTCCCAGTTGGGCTCCCCTTGCTTATCTGGTTTCTGCCCAAGTATAGAAGTGGAACTTGGCTTCCGAGGTAAATGTGGCTTTTCAGGGTGGCACTTAAGAGTTGGCTAGAGGGAAAGGCTGTTGAGCCATGTGGATTTCAGTGATGTGGCCTCTTGGGGACAATATGTGCTGCTTGGCAGACCTTCTCACTATCAGCATAATGTAATGACAGGAAATGCCAACGTGAGCAGTATATTAACACAAACACCATTCAGTACCCCATATTTAAAGTATAAAATTTTATTTCACTTTTTTTTTTAAAAGAAAGGTTATTAAAAACAGAACCAAACAGTACTCTGGGTTTTGGGAACAGGGCTAGTCGTCCTGGGCCCTCAGTGTCCTGGAGTTCGCAATCTTGCTTTTTTCAATGATGTGGACAATGACAATCAGGCCTGGCTTGCACCCCAGGCCATAGCATTCTGCATAGCTTGGGAGGTGGTTTTAAATAAGTGCTATACATCCATGTTGGGCTCCCAGAGAGACTCCCACATCCCATGGTACCGCTGACCACAAAGTCATTAGTCATCATAGGCGCTGACAAGGTGTAGAGAGCACATGAGGGGCTTAAAGAAGTCTTTGCGCCTAATCTATTAATGCTAGCTCTGTGTAGCTGGTTCACAGCCTTTCTTGTACAAGGAACTGGGCAGCATACCCATGAGGGTATAAGGCTTCATCTGCTGACTGTCTTTCAACTCATATAGGTTCAGCCACAACTCAAGGTACCAAGCAATTGTCTGGATGTCATTGGTGAGCCTGGCCAGGAAAAGGCCTGGAAGTCTGTGGTCACAATCTGGGCCTAGATCTGAAGTACCTATCTTCTGCAATGGACCCACAATTCTTCCCTTACAGAACACTTAATAGACATGATTTTAACACTAGGACCCTGATTGCTACTACAGTTCCAAAACCAGCTCTGGCTTCCCCTGCCATTCCCCACCCCCCCCCCCCCCCCCCCCCCGCACCTGTCAACTCCATTAAAATACTTTCTAATCCTGTCTTCTTAAAACAGCACTGGAATAGAGGTTAAGAGGAAAGCATTTTAAAGACTATCCAGGTTCCTCCAGGAAAGCTTGGAACCTTCTCTGCTCCAATTCCTTCCAATGTACATACTCTATGCAGTTAAGGCATGAACCCAGCATGTTGTGACAGGAGAACTGAGCATATAAAGTTACAGCAGGGTCCCCTCCAAGAACTATATAGCCATGTCTAGAGACATTTTTGTCACATTGGTGGGTGAAGTTGACTTGTACTATTGGCATCCTGTAGATGGAGGAGGCCAGGAATGTTTCTAAATATTCTACATAGTACAAGATAGGTCAACAGTGGAGGATGAAGTGCCAACTAGTGCCAAAATGCCAACAAGGACCAAGCTGCTTTGCAGCTCACTCCAGGAGCGCCATGTATCTTCTGAGGCTGCAGGAGATTCAGAATCATAACCCACTGTTGTCAACCAGACACCAGAAGCTTTTTCTAAAAGTCAGATGCCTGTCGCTGCGTAGCCTCTGAACAGAAAGTGCCAGCAGTGACTGTAGTTGGCCCAGGCAGCTTTAGTCTTCTAGTTCTTCCACTCGCTCCTGGGTTGCACGTGGGCTTGCTAAGGGCACAAAGAGTGAACTCTGAGCTGTCCCTTTTTAATCATGGCACACGGAAGAAATATTTTCAGTACATTTTTTCTGAATAAACTCAGGAAACAGTTCTACAGTGAGCAGTGCTGAGGTTCTGGCCATATCCAGGGAGGAAGAGACTGTTTCCTGATGAGCATTTCCTGCACACCAGTTCCCTCTGAGAGGGTGCACAGGCTGGAGAACGGCATGGAGCACCAGAATGGTATGAGAAGATGTAAAATTTCACACTAGTATTTACAGAGTTGCAACAGCAGTTCTCAGTGGTAAGTGCTGGAAAGTGGTGATCTCCCTCTGTCCTGCAGTTTTCCCTCCTCCTTAGTTCTCCTTAACATTTCCTCTTTAACTTATATACACTAGAATTGCACATGATTCTTAAAGCTTCAGGTGACAGCACAGCATTGGATGCTAAGTTAACAGATCCTATAGTTTTAGGAAGGACCATGACTGTCATCTAAGGTACCTATCTGGGCAGAACTTTACTGTACTCAGTGCGTGAAGGGGGATGTTAGTGGGTTTTATATTCTTTCAATGTTTTTTTCCTCCCTCACCCAAATATAACCATAGGAAACTGAGTAAATAGCCCAGTTGAAGACTATGGCACAAGCTGAGCGAAGCCCATCTCTCTCCTCCAACAGCTCTTCTCTCTTTTTTAAAACACCTCCACCCTGCTCCATTCTGGGCCATTCAACAGTCTTCATGCTTGTACTTCCTGAAGAACCACCGTGTGTTTTGGACTTCTTTCCCTTCTCCAGTTCCAAAATGTACAACAGGTGCATGGATCCAGGGCTTGTACCAAGAAAGAATTCTGAGGGCACGGGGCAAAGGGGCTTGTGCACCAGGCAAACAGTCTAGTTCCCACTGCCACAGCCTGCCCAGGCCTAGCTCTGGCTGGCCTGTATCAAGAGGTTCAGCAGGTCTATCCTGCAACACTGGTGAAGTGCCCAGGCCAACTTTCCCACTGTGGCCCCCCTGGTGCCTTCCCGCATCAGCCACTTCTGGAGCATCTGGTAAACCTTTTCTTTCAGCCCGTCTCGTTCATAGTCGTGGTCAATTTCATCGATCTGAGAGTCCGTGAAGCCTAGCTTGCGGGCACAGTTTTTCCACTGCCGTCCCAGGTTTTCCCTGACAGGGTTCAGGTGTTTATCAGACAGACTACTGGTGTTATCTGTCAAAGAGAAAAGAGAAGATGCCTCAGGCTACAGTCCATTTGAACATTCTAGTGTCTGCAATGCTGAAATGCTACAGGAAAGAAAAAAGTACCAAGAGATGCAAAAATGATAACTTTTTGTTATGTTTGAGGCAATCATGCTCTGTAGTCCCTT